CTCGTGAGCCCAGGCCATTTCCTTCCTTGCCCAATCCTGCTGTAATGAAAGTGTCTGGGGCTAGCACTTTTTCAGTACTCTGACAAATAATGGTGCTACCAGCTTATTGCAGGTGGACATAAACCCCTGTGTGATACAATGCTGTAGGAAAATAACGGGAAGGGTCTTACAGCGGGTGTTTCGAGGGGGAAGTGCCCAAAGAGATATGGGATTTTGGGAGGCTGCTGCAAAGGAAAAGCTGTGCCGTGTTGAAACGCAGAGCAGCTTTCAGGCTCACTTTGCATGCAGCAACCAGCCAGCCCGGAGGAGTGTTGCTGCCAGCGAAAGGTCAGAGCAGAGTCTAAAAGGTTGTTTTCCCCCCATCTGGCAGCTCCTGAGCTGGGGGGCTGGAGCATGAGCTGGCAGCAGGAGTCCTCTCCTATCGATTTGTAAAACCTAGAGCTCCCATGCCCTGCAGGGAGGCAAGAATCTCTGCAGCCCTGCTGTGGGCAACAGCTTCCCTCCAAGGGCTGGGGTAAAGGCTGGACCAACATTCTTCATCCCTTGGCTGGGAGCTGTATCCAAACAGAGCTTGCCATGATGGGACCAGGCAGCCTCTTTCCCCTGTGACTGCACACAGCCAGCTGCTAGAGCTGGGGGCAGATCGTCTGCAGAGGGAAGGGGCACTGCTGAGGCTTCAGGAGAGCCCCTTCAGTTGAGGTCTGGCTCTCCTGGTTAGCTCCAATTCCACCCGAAAGCTCTCAGGCAGCTGGTCCCAGGGAGTCCCAGCTCCCTCCGTGGTGGAAGGGGCTCTGGGTGCTGTCCCCAGGCACGGGGCAGTGCTGGCGGTGGTTTGGGGCTCTTCACCCCACACCTATGGCCAGCACCAAGCCCGAGAGCTGCTTGTGCCCCTGCCTGGTGCCACCAGGATAGATCTGACCGAGAGGCGCCGGGGAGGGACACCGAAGCGGGCAGGGTTTGCTGGGGCTGCTGACCTGGCACGCTGTGAATCAGCCACCGCATTCGCTTTTATTGTTGATGGCCGGGATGGGAAATGCAATTGAGACACCTTAATGAAAAGCTAACAAAGTTGGGTTTTGGAGGGAGGGCTGGCGTTCTGGTAGCCTTGCTTCTTGTTAGAGAATAATATGAATGATTTGTCTGGGGATATTCCTCCCACCGTGCCTGCAGCGTTCTGCTGACCGTGGGCAGGGACCCTGGGCTAATGCAGAGTCTCCAGGGACTTTGGGATTATAGAAATAAAGAAATGCTTTATAGCATTTATAGCAGCTTCTTCTCGGGGATATTTCATGTGTCTGGTTGTGTCTGTGTAACCAGCATGTTGTGGCCTAGTATTTTCTAGCCCCTCATAGGGTTAATAACTCTCATCGTGTTACTTCTAGTAGGAAAGCTGGTGAGGGTGTGTGACTCTTGCTTGACGACTGCATCCCAAAATGCGGGCAAAAGTCCAACATAGAGTTGTGGGGTGCTACTGCTGGTCCAAGAAGACTCACGGCACATTGCCACAGCCAGTGGGTTTTTCTTCCAAAGCTCCAGCCTTTCCCCACCCATCAGAACTCTCCAGAAAAGTTCCATGTTTCTTATCTCCTGCCATCTGAGAAAAAAATGGTTTTTGTACTTGGAGAGCTGGATGGGAAGGCTGGAAGATGGTTTACTCAGATGCAAGCCTCTAGGCCTTGTTTCCTCCTGTTTAACATAATATGTGACTTTATCTAAAAAAAAACAACAAAGCCAAACCAACAAACCAAAACCAACTTATATTAGAATGTTTGAAACGGAAGAACATGGCAAATAAAGTTCAAGTGACTTCTTAATCTGATTTAGTGGGTGTCTTTTTTCTGGCTGAGACTTCTAGCGCTCAAATCCTTTTAAGACTGTAGAGTTGGTCCAAAGTGTGATGGGACTCTCCTATTCTTTATGACCTAAATCAGTGACCCAAAGCATAATATTTTCTCTAGAACCATCTGTTTCCTCTTCTTGCCAAGGGGATTTCACAATGCCTGGTTGCTCTGAATAATTGTACATGTGCAAGGATATGACTTGCCACAGGGAGAAAATTAACTGAATAATGGCAGGTGGACGCTCTTGAGTGTTTGTTGAAACTACTACCCTTTAGAAAGAGAAGGTGAAGAACCATGCTGCTGAGTAATACTTTTTTTCCCACAATATATTTTTTTAAGCCTACATATTTTTAAAACCCCCTAAAACTGCACTTAGGAGCTATCAAGGATAAACAGAGTAGATACCAAGTCAGCCCGTGTTTTGATAGACCCTTTATCAAATGTCTCCGAAATTTGGTTTGGAGCAGTGTGGAACACAGGAGTACAGATGTTAGGTGACTAATTCATGCCTCGGCTAAACTTCAATGACCATGAACACACATCTGTTTCAACTTAGCTGTCTGCCAAATGGCCTGCAACAAGGTATACTCTTCATTACAAACATCATGTTCTCAGTTTTTACTTCAGATTTGTAAGGGGTGGCCACAGCCTGCATTCTGGGAAGCAGAAGGTACCCAGGGACTGTGATCAGGGGAGCAGTGTTCAGGGCTTCTGACTCTGGCAGTAAGAGCTTTTTGCAGCATTAGCAGGATTTCCAACACAAACAACTCCTTTCTTTTAAATCTGTCTTCATACAGGAGACTTGCTTTTTCTTGTTGTCTTAACTGTTCTTATCACCCAACTCTCTGACTCGCTCGCTTCCTGCTCTGCCTATCTTTTACTTTTCTTAATTAGAAAATTGGGAGCAGGGGGAGAGACAGACCAACAGTTCCTGTTGAGGAAATGCCGTTTGTATAAAACTGTCTTCATAAATTCTCAGTATTATTCTTACAGCCCAATAATCCTACTACAGCATCCTTACATAAAGGCAGGTGGAGGAGAGAGCTTTGATCCATCCTTGCAACGTCTCCTTGTGAAGTCGATCCCGAAACGCGGCTGTGGGATGGTACCCATTGCTTCCTCCAGACAGTTCTCCACTTGTGTGCAGCCCTGTCCCTGCATAATATGCCCCTACCCTGACTAGGAGAGGTGATTTCTGTGTTGTGGGGGGGAAGGAGATGGGTGGTGGTGACCAGGTGCTTCTCTTCAAGGAGGCACTGGTGTGTCCCTGCTTAGGAGGGTCAGTGCTTCTCCCCAGGAGCACTGTTTGCCTGACTGTACTTTTGCAGCCAGCAATCACAGCTCACAGAATCACCACAGACTGGTAGGGCTTGGAAGGGACCTCTGGAGATCATCTAGTCCAACCCCACTGCCCAGCAGTGTCACGCGGAGCAGGTCAGACAGGAATAGGTTTTGAATGTCTCCAGAGAAGGAGACTCTACACCCTTTCCAGGGCTCTGGCACCCTCAAAGCAATGCAGGCAAGATGTGTGACTGCTGTGTGGCTGGAGAGCCAGCCCGGTTCCCAGCTGTGCTGTGAAACAGCGGTGAAGGTGTGCTCAGCCATCCTGCTTGGGTCACACTCATGATGACTGGTCCCAGGTGACAGCTGCTGGGATGCCGTCGCTGGATGCAGCCTTGGATGGGCAGGTCCGTGTCTCCCAGTACATGCAGCTGTGTTTGCTGGAGACCCTGCAGGGGGCAAATGGTAAGGGGAGACCTGCCAGGCGCTGCGGTGGCTGGGCTTCAGGAGGCATCAGCTGGGTCTCCTGCTTGTGACCCATCTCTGCTATGGGCCTGGGAATACCATCCTTCTCTTAGAAGTTGGAATCTTTCATGGCTGGAGTCCTTTTTTTTTTTTTTTTTTTTTTTTTTTCAATTTTTCTTTCTGGTTTATGGGGGTTTTTTATGAGCAAAACCAGTTCAGCCTTTTGTCTTCTCCAGCAAAGTGAAGATATTGACATATTAATTTTCCTCTCTTCATAGAAACATTTTTAAGTACCGTGTGATTAAATTAACTTGGAATGGAGAAGTGTAGTATGGCAAAGGCTCTCCTTGAGGAGAAAATATAGCTTTAATAACTAGGAATCTGGCTTTTATTGGCTAGTAAAATTGAGAATGTAACACTGAGCATGCTCAGGTTTTTGCACTAAGCATCTCTATGCACTTGAAGGCATCTGTTCTGCGGGTTTATGCACTGTTAACTAACTGCAAACCTCTTTAACAGCTCCTCCACACTGCTGGAAAATCCTGAGGCAGGACAAGGGCAAGTACTGCTGTCATGCCTGATGACTGATGTTGTAAATGGAGTGAGAAAGGCCTTGAAGGGGAAGCCGTCAAAGCTGACCTAGTGGGAAAAGAGCGCAGGGACAGGTTTCCTCTTGAAGTATGCCAAGAGAGCCCGGGCTTGGATGCATATGGGGCTCTTTCCAGTTTTGGGAAGGTGCAAAGTGATGCGCTGTGGAAGGAATGGCTCCAAAATCATTAATTAAAGACTGCCCTTCTGGTGCACCTTATGACCGAGTTGCTGTTAAGAATAAGGTTTTGCCAGGGCCTGAGCATACTTCATGCAGTTTTTGGACGTGGAGTAGATGCTTGGGAGGACTTCGAGCAAGAAAAGGCTGTGAAATACGTAGTTTATAGTGGCATGTATAAAACTATTTTTAAAAAATGATGGAGGGATAATAGACTTCCCTACCTTCTCCTGCTCTCTGAACTCCAGTGAGTGAGGGAATTGTAATTTTGAAATGGGAAACACTTCTGCCAGCTGTGAAGTAGAATGATGGGCTTTAATTAGATGAGAAACAAGAAAATGCAATTGAACAAATAGGCTTTCAGCGAGGAGAAAGAAAGTGGCATTAAACATCGTAGCAGCTAAAGGGATAGGTGCTTGCCCACTGGTAGCATCTGAATCTGTTCTTGTTCAGATAACTGAACTAGGTGAGTTGTACTTGGAAACCAGCAGTAATCATGACACAAATGGGCTCATTAGATGGTCTTCTCAAGTAACAGGGTAACTGGATTGTATGTTTGGGAAAGATGGGAAATAAACAGGGTGTAGGGAAAGATCCACTATCTCTGGTTGGCCTCACTTAATGCGTCCTTCCTTTTGTCTCTGCAGCTTGAGGACATTTGGGACCAGTTCAGTGGAAGCGGCCATGTCGCAAGCAACGCATCCACCCACCTTCCCAGTGAGCTTCCAACTCCTCAGTGTTGTGCTGGTGTTGCTCTTCCATGCAGAGAGCATACATGCAGAGAGCCCCAGCGAACTGCCTGTGAATGACACGGAGGAGTGCGGGGGCTCATACATCTGCAAAAAGGGTGTGATTTTACCAATATGGGAACCCCAAGACCCCTCATTCGGTGACAAAATTGCTCGGGCAACAGTCTATTTTGTGGCAATGGTGTACATGTTCCTGGGAGTATCTATCATAGCTGACCGCTTCATGTCCTCCATCGAAGTCATTACATCCCAAGAGAGGGAAATAACCATCAAGAAGCCCAATGGAGAGACCAGCAAAACTACGGTGAGGATCTGGAATGAGACCGTTTCCAACCTCACACTGATGGCCTTGGGCTCATCTGCCCCAGAGATCCTCCTGTCTGTTATTGAAGTGTGTGGCCATGGCTTCACGGCAGGGGACTTGGGGCCAAGCACAATTGTGGGGAGTGCTGCATTTAACATGTTTGTCATCATTGCGATCTGTGTTTACGTGGTTCCAGATGGAGAGATAAGGAAGATCAAGCACTTGCGAGTGTTTTTTGTTACAGCAGCCTGGAGCATCTTTGCCTATACTTGGCTTTACATTATTTTATCTGTATCTTCTCCTGGGATTGTGGAGGTTTGGGAAGGTTTGCTCACCTTCTTCTTCTTCCCCATCTGTGTGGTGTTTGCCTGGATAGCTGACAGGAGGCTTTTATTTTACAAGTACGTCTACAAGAAATACCGAGCTGGCAAGCAGAGAGGCATGATCATTGAGCATGAGGGTGACAGGCCTTCGTCCAAAGCTGATATAGAGATGGATGGAAAGGTTGCTAATTCTCATGTGGAGAACTTTTTGGATGGGACATTGGTGTTGGAGGTAGATGAGAAAGACCAGGATGATGAGGAAGCCAGGAGGGAAATGGCTCGGATCCTGAAGGAGCTGAAACAAAAACACCCTGACAAGGAAATTGAACAGCTTATAGAGTTGGCCAACTACCAGGTCCTGAGCCAGCAACAAAAGAGCAGAGCCTTTTACCGTATTCAGGCCACTCGGCTCATGACGGGAGCTGGCAACATCTTGAAAAGACATGCTGCAGACCAGGCCCGCAAAGCTGTCAGCATGCATGAAGTCAACAGTGAGGTGGCAGAAAATGATCCCATCAGCAAGGTCTACTTTGAGCAGGGTACCTACCAGTGTCTGGAGAACTGTGGCACTGTTGCCCTGACCATCATTCGCCGAGGAGGTGACTTGACCAACACAGTGTACGTTGACTTCCGGACAGAGGATGGGACAGCCAATGCTGGCTCTGACTATGAGTTCACCGAAGGGACAGTGGCCTTCAAGCCTGGAGAGACCCAGAAGGAAATCCGTGTTGGCATAATCGATGATGACATATTTGAGGAGGATGAGAACTTCCTGGTCCATCTCAGCAATGTCCGTGTGAGCACTGAGACCTCAGATGAGAGCATTCTTGAGACCAGTCGTGTCTCAACACTTGCCTGCCTGGGATCACCATCTACTGCCACCGTCACCATCTTTGACGATGACCATGCTGGCATCTTCACCTTTGAGGAGCCAGTAACGCATGTCAGTGAAAGTGTGGGGACCATGGAAGTGAAAGTGTTGCGAACCTCTGGTGCGCGAGGAAATGTTATTGTGCCCTACAAAACCATTGAAGGCTCAGCCAAAGGTGGAGGAGAGGACTTTGAAGACACCTGCGGGGAGCTGGAGTTCCAGAACGATGAGATAGTGTAAGTGAAGGTTTTATTTGTTACTTACAGTCTCTGGTTCTCCTGAAATTAAATGCACATGGCTCTCAGAGCTGCATTGGAGGTGTTTGGGTGCCAGCACGTTGCCATGAGGCATGAATGGCCTTATGTGCTTTGGGGAGCCTGAAATACTGCGTTCCTGCCTTGCTAACAGACAGAGTGATGCCTGCTCAGGGGCATGCCACCCTTCCAGCAGCAGGGAGGTGGGACTTGTTTGAGAGCCCAACCTCCCACACCCTATCCATGCACTGAGCAGATCTCTTTGGGCTCAGCTCTACAGTGGAGCAGAGAACAAATCTGAGCTGGCAGTTACTGCTCACTCATGAGGACCTGTCTTGTGAAGGGCCTAAACTGAGGGTATGGATTGCAGTATCTACTTCCCCTTGCCTGTTGAGGGTCAGGTCATCCGGGGCTGGGCCCGGATGCTCCACTGATGCTCTGTTCAGAGCTTTCAGAGGAGGTGAAGGTCACTGCACCTCCTCCTCTTCTAAAGGCTGCAGGCCTGGGTCATTGTCCAATGCATGCCCTGGAAAAGTATCGTCATGAAGAGAAGCCTCATAGTTAGGATGCAACTGCAGGCACATTTGGCTGCTTGTAAATATAAAAGAGGCTGAAAGCTGTCGGAGGCTACTCCTGAGTGTTGCTGGGTGGATGGTGGAAAAATTATTTGTGTTGTAGCCTTTTTATTACATTATGTGGAGAATATAAATTAGGCCCGTAAATCATGGTAGAAAACATCTATCCTTGGGTATGTCATGAAGACATTTCTTTGCCCATTTGAGGCTCTGGGACGTGCAAAGGTTGGGAGTTGTGTTGTTCCGGTCTCAGGCTCTTCCTACAGTGAAGTCTGTGTCTGTAGATCAGTCCCTGCCAACAGCAGACTCTGGAGCACAGAACCATTGTGTAGAACTCGGAGTTATCACTGATAAAAGGCACTGCTGTGTCAAGAGAGAGCAAAATGTCAGCTTGGGTGTTGGTTATCATACAACTGGTCTCTTAGGAGCTGAGACAGACCCATGATGGGTGCCGAGAGTGGGCCCTGTGGTCCGTTTGTTACTTGTGTCTGCTCGTGTGCACAGGGACAGTGAAGCAAATGGAGAAATCATAGACCTTCTTGAAGAAGGGGGAAAAAAAAAAGTGATTTGTGGTTCTCAGACAGGGTATTAGACCAGTTGGTGTTTTGACTTCTCAGGAAGAACTGAGCAAGAACTTCACAGCCCCAGCAATCTGGAGGCCAGAAGAAGCATGTTGCTTGCACAAGGGACAAGAGCACACGATATGCCGTTGTTACTGGTTCCTGAAAGATAACTGTAGTAGAGAGGAATGGAGTTATTTCATTATTATTTTTTTTTCATTTTGGGAGAAGGAGGGAGTTGTCTGGAGAGATGCAATGAACTAGGCTATAAGGATATCCCCCAAAGGCTCTTTACGTTCTAACCAGGTCACCCAGCACTAGCAGAACTGGGCTACTGGAAGGAAGACTTTGACGCTTGATCTCAGTTCCCCTGGGAGGTGACATGTTTACATGGCAGGCCAAACACATGGCCACAGGCTCAGAGGGGCTTGGGCTTCCCCCCCATCCTGGATCCATCACTCTGGCCAGGATCTCTGTACTGTCCTTCATCAAAGACAGGTAGTGTCACCTGTATTGGCACTGCCTGTTGGTCCTCAGTCTGTGGTGTGGGGCTTGCAGTGGGACGTCGGTGCCTTCTCCCCGGTGTTGCCTGGGGGCTGGCTGTGCTGTGCCTCTGCTGGTGGCCGTTCCTCCACTGTGGACTTTTGCCAACAGCCCAGTCACCAAGGGGTGTGCTGGAAACGGGCTGACAGCATTCTGCCAGAGCTGTTGCCTGGTCCCCTCGGCAGCAAGCCTCCTCCTTCCTTTTCTTACTGGCACAGCAAGCAAGAAACAGGGGAAAGCAGCTTGCTTAGAAACCCAGGTGTGGATTTGCTGTGCAGATGCCAGGGCATTGCCATCCTGCCTTCATTGCCTTTAAACTACCTCTCCCTGGAATCGCAGGGGACGGTACATGGGAAACATCACTTAGAGTTGGTAGCCTGTTTCAGGTGAGGGCTTGGGGAATGGGGTGGGTGGAGGTGGCAATTGCAGAGCCGTACGTTGACCAAGGGACTTGCTCCATTCAGGTAGGTAGGAGAGGACATGCACATACCTTATTTTCCTGGGAGAAGGATGAAACTGATTGTACAAATGGCAATGTATTCATGTGCCTGGAAGGCAGCAGGTATTAATCTAAAACTTAGCTGCTACAGTCCATGTTCAGGTGTTGGACAGTGCAATCTGACTTGCAGAAGATTTCCTGGAGGTCCATGTTTGCCTGGGCACAAGTTTAGGACAGCCTTGCGGCACAAAAGTGGTATGGTCCTGAAGCTCAGGCGGTGTTTAGAGGCATTCTCCTTTGGAAGAATTTGCTCTAATGGGTGTAAAGAAGATGTGCTGTCACAACATGTGGACTATAGAGCTAAAATCTGTTTGCTGTGTCCTTGCTTGTTAGTGGTGTGCTTCAGCTAAATCACAGCTATGTAGAATGGTGCAATTCCCCAGCACATTTGACTCAATAAAGTTCTAAAACTTCAGGTTTTCCCATGGTCTGCTGGCAAAGAGGTGGGTTTGCTGCCCTTTCTAAAGGTCTTTAGTGTCTCTTCACCTCTGTCATTCTAGGCTGCATCAATCAGCTTGAGAAAATCAAGTACAATGTGTTTTTCTGGGGCACTAACAGCGAACGTAGGGTAGTGCAGGGGGATACAAGGATGAAAGAAAACTGTGTACAAGCCTCTATTTTTAGAGGGCTGGCTTGCTGGTAAGTCCCAGTAAAATTAGAAAGCACTGGGAGGGCCCTGATCTTCTGGAGAAGACCTTCCTCCAGTTCCCAAGAGGCCCAATTACGTAACGTGTTGTTTGTTTGCAGTGTCCAGAGAGACTTTCCCGTTTTGCAATCTGTTGATGTCCCCTTTCCCAGAGCACATAAAATAGCTGTATAACTGCTGAAGCTATGCCACTCCTGTGCATTTAAACAAAGAACTCATTCCGATGCTACCAAAAAAGAGGTATAATGGAGACGACGTTGGTCCTTCTATGGAAAATTTTATCCCAGCACTGCCTGGTAGCCTCTTGGAGTGATGCTTTTCTGCTCCTTGCTCCTGAAGCACAGCTTGTGTGTTCAACGGGTGCATGATGGCAAGTGAAAGAAAGAGCAAAATGGTATTTTGCAAAGGGGTTAGCTGTGTGGGAAATCTAAAGATGTCTGACCTGGGTGTCAGCAAGGTGAGTCTCAATGATGCTGCACGGGTACCCGGGGCTCTGAGACTAGAAGACAGTGTGCTATGATTTAAAGTGTGAGAGCCTTTCCTGTGGGGCCATCCTCACCAAGGTGACTCCCAGCCTTGTCTTGCATCTCCATTAATGACTAAAGCTTTCATGATAAGAACACGGAGAAGATGTGTAGTTTCAGGCTCTTCCTGCCCACCCATCTACCACAGCTATTGTGATCATAGAAGAGGTCGCTGGTTCATCCAGCCAGTGTATTTTTGTCTCTTGACCAAATACCAAATAACTCAAAAGAAGTCAAGCCTCTTGTCTTAGAGGAGGAAGCAATCCTTCCCCCAGCTGATAGGATCTCTTCTTCTTGCCGTCTTGAAATATCAAGAGGGGCACCTCTTCCAGACGTGATTGCAAAGGTATATGAAAACTGTGTGTTCTTTCATGTTCAAAAAAATAATAGTTTTTCTAGAGATAACATTGCAACTACAGATCCACTACAATCTGCATTCCAGATATACGCACTCAAAAGAAGAGTTTTTCTGCATTCATGAGGAAGATGGTACAGACTATTATATCTAAAACTGATTAAACTGGTATTTCACCTACGCAGTTACGCCTGTGACTGCATGGAGAATTTTATGTCAATAGATCTTGCTCTTGTTCATAAGATATAGTTTAGTTGTTTTAATAAAATATGTCTGCTGCTGGTTTAGGAAGTGACACTCTTGGCCCATTGAATTTGACTTGTCCACGCCAGCTTTGGCATTTCTCTGGAAGCATAAATCTAGGAGCCAAATGCTACAGTGACACAAACATAGCTAAATCCTCTGATTTTTTAGGTTAAGTGTCCCCATAGACCACATAGCTTCCCCGCCAAGAGCCCTTTAAAAATGTCAATGTGAATAAATATAGATTGTGGAAGGGGAAACCAAGTTATAAGTTCTCCTTGTCTTTTCCAAAAGAAGTTGGGTGAGGTATTTCTAAAGAAACAGCAAAAATAAAATCCTGAGTCAGCCTGGGACCTCTCTAGCTCAGTTTTGCATCCATAGCCTGCAGCTTCAGAATAAAAAATGAAGCTTCCAGCATGGTCAGCCTTGAGGTGGGATGCAGTTGAAGAGCAGCGAGTCTTCTGGCGTGGCAGAGAGACTGCTATAAACCAGGCTGAAGGTGAAGCAAACAAACATTCCCCTTTTCATGGTTCGTCGTTGAACACACGGTATTTCTTTGTCCATCCTGCTTTGTTTGCCTGGGTCCGTACATCCCTCCCTCGCAAGCCCTGGCTTGTGCAGGGTTAACATCTGGAGGTACAGCTTGGGATTTAGAGCCTGTTTTCCCCTCACCACCTGCAGTCTCACCTGGCCCAGTGGGACTTGCAGGCAGCTCAAGTACAGCCACCAGGATCTAGGTCTTGGGTCCTCAGCAGGAGCATCCAGTGCCCTGTGTCCACCTTATGGGAGGTGGCCCTGGCCATGGCTCACAGCAGATAGTGGAGCACGTGTCCCCCACCAGGCTGGGGCATGGCATGGGAGCCTGTTTCCCTTTCCAGGGGAGTGTTGCGGAGAAGTTTCCTGGGGCTGAAATGTATCGTTGCTTTGGGTTCTGAAGGCCAAAAGCTGGTTGTCCCCTCTTCAGGGGAGAAGATACAACTATAACAGGGTGAGCTGTCTTGTTTAGGCTTTCCTGAATGCTCCTAAAATGTTGGCCT